GCAAGAAGATGCGTGGGAAGGGGAAGAGTCTCAAGCGGTATGTCGCCTTTTTTCTTTTCTTTTGGGTCCATAACTGAGACCGATCCAGCTATCTGCGCAAGCAGCGGAAGAACGTCATCGACCCGACGGCGGTCGCGATCCGGGCAAAGCTGGAGAAGCAGCGGGAGGAGAGGAAGGCGCGTGCGAAGGAGCAGGCGGGCGGCCCACCGCGCAAACCGTCCGCGCTGGACCGTTTTGCTTCTGGATAGAGCCTCGTAGAAATTGCACGTCTTCTAGTAGATTTCACTTGCATTTTCTCAGAAGCAATTGATACATACTTGGGCCCAGAATGTTGAGAAAAAGTCTGTTTCCTTTCTCTGTCTGATGCCGAGGTTTGGCGCCGAAGGACGTGGAACACGTCGACAGCCACGACGACGCGATGAATTCAGCAGCTTAAAGTTGGCTTTACACCTTTCAAAGGTCCTACAGTCGAGACGAAGTGCCAAGGCGTGCTCTTTTACCTTTTTATTTAAAATTTGCTCGCTCGCAGCGTGTCAGTCTTGTGACATTTCATGTCTTCACCTCCACCACTGCGGCATCCAGTGCCCACGCACCCTGCGTACATCCCCGAGCCCCCATCTACCCCAGGCTCGCCCCAGGCCCAGGGATACCAGCGCTTCGCCTCGTCTCCCCAGCCCGGCCAGCACCAAGCCTATGCCCCGGCTCACGTCTCCGCGTACACTTCTCCGTTTCAGCATCAGCAGCAGCAGCCACCACAACCACCCCTTGCTGGCCATGGTCCACCGCCGCCCCCCATGATGCAGCACCAGCCCCAATTTGGTGCGTGGGGCATGAACGACGCGACAGCCCAGTTCGGCATGCAGCTCGGCCAAAGTGCTGTCGCCGCGGGACAAGATTATGTCCAGCGCACGGTGCGTCAATCCCCAACGCAAGGAACAGCGTCCAATTGCTTTTATTTTCGCAGTGGGGCGGGGTATTTCCCGGTGCGCGTGTAAAGCCGCACTTCAACGTGTCCAATTCGTATGTCATGCGGAAGCTGCGCATCGTCCTCTTTCCGTGGATACACAAGCACTGGGGCCGCAACTCGTACCGGACCGATGCTGGACAGACGGAATGGATGTCCCCGCGCGAAGATGTCAATAGCCCGGATATGTACATCCCGCGTGCGTTTCCGCACTTTGAATGTAAAATTCTGCTTATCCGTCTCTCTAGTAATGGCACTCGTCACCTACGTTCTCCTGTGCGCGCTGCACTCGGGGTTTGAGGACCGCTTCCACCCTCAGGTTCTCGGCGAGTCCGCCTCGCGCGCACTCATGGTCGTCATGCTCGACTTTATCTTCGTCCAGCTCGGCTGCTACTTCCTAAACGTGCAGGGAACGAGCCAGTCGATTGACATCATCTCGTACGGCGGGTATAAATTCGTCGGGTGTGTCCATCTCTCGTCGCAATAATATAGCATTAAATGTTTCTCCCCAGCGTCATCCTCACCATCCTCGCGGGCTTCCTCAACCGCAGCCGCACCCTCGGCTTCATCATCTTCACCTACTTTTTCCTCGCCAACGCCTTCTTCCTCATGCGCTCCCTGCGCTCGCTCGTCCTCCCCGACGCCGCCTCCCGCGCCGCCTCCGACCCCTACGCGACCACCCCCTCCGCCTCCCAGCGTCGCCGCCGCATCGCCTTCCTCCTCGTCGAGGCCGCGTCCCAGTTTGTATGGATGGGGTTCTTGGTGCGGATATAATGTTGCGGACTAGAGTTCAAAAACGCATGTCTGTATGTGCGCCATTAATATATTCAATCATTCTGGATTTCTCGGTCCGTCTGACTAAAGTTGCTGGCCGCCGGTTGCTAAAGATATTAAATACGACGGACGATCCTCTGTATCATAATCAACTGTGTCAGTAGTGTATCGTGAATGGACCGCGTTTTTTGTTTCTCAACTTGCGCCTAAATGTGAATTTTGAAAGTAACCTTGTCAACTCCCGCCCTCCTTCTGCTGGACAACTTCAACGTGAATTCAGCGTTCGAACTTCGTTGGACAAGGCGGAGGTTTCCGTGATCCCACTGTCATGATCAGCTGACAAGTTCTGTCTCTTTTTTCTCATCTACTCTCCAAGTTTCTCTCCGTCGTGCAGAACATCGCTGAAGCGGAAATTTGATTTGATTTGTGGTACACATTTTTTCATACATACATTTCTTGCTTGTTTTCCCCCTGCGTTACATGCCGTCCTCACAACCTCGCCACCTTGAAGCTTGATCCACGAGCAAGCACACCGACTTTTTCACCACAGCTCACGCCTTGACGGAAGTGTACACACCCAGATTCGCGCGGAACTTGATGGCCTCGCTGGCGGGCTTGACCTGGAGCGGCTTGACGGTAGGCGCGCCGACGGCCTTGGCGATGCGGTCCGACAGTCCCTGGTCGACGGCCGCCCAGACGGAGACTACACAGGCAGGTCAATAAAAATGCACACAGGGGCGGAAACGAGAGGACATACGCTGGCGGGCTCGGACCTCGGCGCTCTTGACACCCCCGAAGTGGCCAGCGACGTTCTGCACGTACGCCTCCCTCTGTTGGTCGTTCCAGACCTTGCTCCACAGTGCGCGCGGCTGCTCAAAGTCGACTGTGTGCACGCCGGATTAGTTCGCTGGAGAAACACGGTATTGGGAAAAGGTACGTACGCTCGGTGATCTCGCTGAGGTCGCGGAACGCCGCGCCGACAAACGTCTCGTGCTTGGCCTCGCGCGCCAAGTCGCGCACGCCACCTTCGAGCGTGCCGGGTGCACCCTTGTACTGGAGCGGGACGATGCTGCTCTGGTAGTTGGGGCGTGCGCCCTGCGACACGAAGGTGCTTGGGCCGTCGCGCTGGAAGTTGGCGACAGGGACGATCGGTGCGTTGACAGGCAGCTGCTGGTAGTTGACGCCGAGACGGTGGCGGTGCGTGTCTGGGTAGGAGAACAGACGCGACTGCAGAACGGGGTCCGCGCTGGGCTCGATGTACGGCACGAGGTGCGACGGCGAGAATGCGGCCTGCTCGATCTCGGCGAAGTAGTTCTGCACGTTCTCGTCGAGGACCATGCGACCGACAGGGCGCAAAGGGAATTCGGCGTGTGGCCACACCTTGGTGAGATCGAGCACATTGTATCGGAACTGCTCGGCCTGGGCAGGGGTCATGGTCTGCACGAAGACATTCCACACCGGTGGATGGCCCGACTCGATCGCCTCGAAGAGGCCCTCGATGCCGTAGTCGGGGTTCTCACCCGCAAGCTTGCCGGCCTCGGCATTGTTGAGGGTCTTAAAGCCGCCCTCGACGCGCAGGTGAACCTGGGTGTAAACGAAAGTTCCATCCTTCTTGAACCACTTGAAGGTGTGGCCGGAATAACCGTGCATGCGGTGGAAGCCATCGGGCGTGCCGCGGTCACTGAAGAGGATCATGATCTGGTGGATAGATTCCGGGTTCTGACTGAGGTAATCCTGGATACGATCGTAGGTCAGGAAGGAAATCTAGGCGAGTCGAGATTGCTGTCATACCCAGAACATGTCGGGATCCTTGAGGTGGGTTTGGGGGTCGCGCTTCTGGGTGTGGATAAAGTGGGGGAATTTTGCGGGGTCACGGATGAAGAAGACGGGGGTGTTGTTGAAGACCCAGTCCCAGTTGCCCTCCTCGGTCCTGATCTTGATTGCAAAACCACGGGGATCGCGCGCAGTGTCGGCAGATCCAGACTCGCCACCTACGGTGGAGAAGCGGACGGTAACCTTTGCTTTCTTGCCTTTGGTGGACAGGAAGGGGTTGGCGGTGAGATCGCTGAGGTCCTCGGTAATCTCCAAGGTACCATGGGCTCCTGCACCCTTGGCGTGGACCTGATGGCTTCTGTGAGAACAATTCGGAGCTGGGGTGGATAATTATGGCGTACCACACGCTCGGGAATACGCTCGCCTACAGATCAAGTCAATCGACGTTGATTAAACCTCACCCAAGTAAACTTACGATCGAAGTGGGCCAATAGGTCGATGTGGTGGAAATCTGGCGATGGGTGTGAGCGTCGACAGCTCCCCCCCCATCTAGTTGGACATACCCTGGAGCAACAGGGGACCGAGAAGACCTACGCGCTGAGCACCATATGGCTCTGAGACGGCTGCGCCATTCGAGGTGGTGTAGTGGGCAGACTCCAGGCCAAGAGCGAATACTTGCTTGGAAGGCATGGTGGTGGAGAGAGAGAGAGGGAGTGTGGAGAGACTGAATAATCGAGTTCCCTTTATACCCCAGATCACGTTTTGGCGGGTTATGTACCTACTAAACGCGCAATTGTGATTGGCTGTTCCCTTGGTCAGATGACGCTCTTTCGTCTTCCTCTCTCGCTATTGCCTTCTCCTTCCTTCTCGCCCCGATTATCGCGACTGCTCTCACGAAGAACCGCTTTAAATACTCTCTCGAACCTCGTTTAAACCAGCTGGATTGGACTTGGTTCAACCCAAGTTGAACCTGTGGTTGAAATCCTGGCACCTCAGCTGACGCCACTTCATCGCAAATATGGAATGTACATTCGGTCGATGTGATCCCTGTTGATCTAGACCTGTTCTCACTCTTCAACGAAGACCCGAAGTTGACCGGTCCTCAGGCCCCAGGCAGCGTTCTCGCAGTTTCGTCCATTCCCTCGTTTCCGGCGACCACAACTTGCCCCAATTTTAGCCATTTCCCTGCGCTGGTGTTCCGCGGTCGCCCGTAAAATTTGAATTTCGGGTGTAGAATGAACAACGGTCTGGACTAGATATACCCGGATGGCGGATCTCCGTTCAATTATAACCGGCTGCTCGGCCACGAGGGCCGAAGCAACGGTATCGGAACCGATTCTCTCAAGTTCTCAAGACTCCAACATCGGGGGAAAAAAAGAACATCCATCCGGTAAGTACATCTCTGGTTTTTTCTGTAAATTGGTTCACCTCGATCGCATGTCTTTCTCAGGAGGCGGTATCTACTTCCAAGAAGCCCCCATTCTGCACGTCTTGACTAGTATATCGGTTCAGTACACCCGCTTGTCATATCTGTTCATAGCTGGCGTTTCGCGGGAGAGCAGGGTTCGACTCCCTGGTCGAGAGTTTTTCGTGTTTTGTGATATCATTTTCATCAATTATCTTTGACCTTGCTAAGTTGCTTGAACATACTTAATTGCGACAAAAACGTGTACGGAACCCACAATCGCACAGTGAACATAAATACTAAGGCCCTCCGGGCATGTCCTGGTACCTTTTACCAGACTCGGTTCCCTTGAAAAGTCATAAAAAGAACATGATATGCAGCTCAAGGTTCGCTCGGTCAACGCTCACGCGTCGACCAGCTCACATTGAGCCCAGGATGGCAGAATCCATACATGTTGGTGTCAAAAGCTCACGACAATAAATTGGGGATTTATTTTATGATTATTTATTTTTTATCGGATCAACACGGATACAAAGATAATCTAAGGGCAATTTACACGCCATAATTATTTATTTCTGCGTCGGATCAACCGGTTGCAGATTCACAATTCGTCTTTCAGACCTGGTTCCTAAATCGGTACCAGGAATTACACATACCGTGAACTTATAGTTTCTCTGTGCACAAGAGTCAACGAGTCGCTACAGGGTATCGTTAGAAGCGTAAAGATCATCATAACAATAAGATTAAATAGTCAAAAAGTCATGAACGAAAGAAAGTCTGCCTCTCATCTTGCCTTGTCCCTCACCTCTTTCCAGAAGTCGTCCCACCGCGCACCCTTGAACTCTTCCCGTGGTGCTGCAGGTGCAGCACCCGCGCTCGGGATGCCCTCCGTCGGCGTAAACGCATCCTTCTGCGCAACTGCTATTCGATCGAGCGCCTTGATGAGGGACGGCGTTGCGGGGACGGCGCCGAGCGGCGGGGACTTTGAATTGGAGGACGTAACACCGGTGTGTGCCGACCCCGCGGACGAGCCCAGGTTCGTCGCAGCGGAGCGATGCCGCTGCAGGAATCCCGGGCTCCACTCCTTGCCGTCCTTGTCCTTGTTGCCGTCTTTGGTGGCCAGACTCGTTAGATCCTCCTCGTAGTCCGAGTATTCGGGCACCTCGCCCTCGAGTGTCCGCTTCTTAGCGCCGCGGACGCGCCCCATCTCCTTCTCAAAGTCGATGTCCTTGCCCTTGCTAGAGCTGTCGTCGACGAGCGTGGGCGACGACGAGGCCATGGACATCTTCTGCCGCAGCCACGGCCGTTGGACCTTACCGCTCGTCGGGCTGAGCGGCGGGGACGTAAATGGATCGTCGTCATCCTCGTCCGAAGACAAGTCGGCCCCGCCCACGGGGCGGAACTTGATCCCGCCCCGCTTCTTCGTGGGCATCCGCGCCTTGAACCGCTGGTGCCCGACGGAGCGGCCCTTTTTCAAAAAGGCGGGGCTCTGCTGGAACTCGAATGATTCGCGAGTTTGGCCTGGGGCGAGCTTGACATCGTCGTTGTCGTCCTCGGGGAAAAGGATATCCTTGGGACCGGTTGGCGGCGATGCGCCGAACAAACGATCCCAGAAGGACGCGAGGGGCGTGAAAGTCCCGGCCCGGTTCGCGGCGTTCGGGAGACTTGCCGCATAATTGGCAAGATAGCTATCCCATTTCTTTCGCGCGCAAATTGAGTGGAAAACAGGTCATCCGAAAATAAAAACGCACCTCGTCGGGGCACTCCCCGAATTTGCGCCTGAGGAACCAATCACAGGCAATCCCGGCTCCGAGGAACAAGCAAAAGCCAGCACTGAGGCCTTTTTCCTGCGTTGTTCCCCAGGTGCCGGTTAGGTCTTCTGCCACCCACAACCGCTCCCAAACGTTTGCCCAAGCTGGTATCTTGGCAAGGAGAGCGATGGAAACAATGACACCAAACGCTCCGGTGGAAGCGGTGGCGAAACGGACTGCGGAGTGCTGGATGTTGGGGATCGGCAACAGGACGAAGAGGGTCACTGTAGGTGCAATGACCGCAGTTAAGATTATGCGTGCCAGTAGGGACGGGTGTATCATGACCGAGACGGCGATGGCGAAGAGGGCCCTATTATTACGGCGTCAATTACTGGCACACGATAAGCTCGTGGTGACTTACCCGCCGGAGATCCCGATGAAAAGGAGAGCGAAATAGCGCCATCTGCCCGCCAGGAACGTGGTTATCACGCAAGATAATAACCAGACTGCGAGGAAGGACTTTGAGTTGAGCGCGGATGACGTTGATATCGCCGGGACCATCAGAGACAGAAACGTCGATAGATGGACTGTAATGCAATAAGGATGGACGCGTCGGAAGAGCTAAATTCGCCCTGGACTCACCACCAAAGGCGTATCCTCCAGCAAGTCCACCGACACCGCCCTCGAGAAGGAAGTAAATGCGCTTCTTTTGCTCGAACGCGCCGGGAAGAACGCCATATCGCTCTGGTGGAAACGAGCGACTGCGGTCGAGAGTGAGAAAAGCACCAGCAAAGATGAGAAGGAGGGAGATGAAGAGCAAAGGGAGAGTGTATACAAGGAGGTAAGAGGTGGAAGGCAGCAGGCTGGTGAGCGTGGACAAGTCGTTTATCGCCATTAGAGTCGTTAATATATCGTTATTCGTTTCCGGGGTCGAGTCGAAGGCCGATTGAGGGAGGGCTGCTGAATATTTCCCTGACTGAGGTCAATGTCGGAAGATAATCTAGGCGCTGATGTAATCACGCAACGCCGTGCCAAACACCTCCAGCTCGCTGTTTTAGGCAACTTTTAATCTCCCACCGGCGCTATTCACTTTTCTCCATGGAAATACGAGCACTGTGCGGCCTGCAGGGTTTTTTGGTACAAGAGAATATTCTCTGGGGTGCAAGCGCATCTCCTGATCATCGTAACATAAGCCAAGGGATGGTCCATATGAGATTCATATTCACCCTGTTGCAAGCAAAAAAAACTGTTTGGAGTAAGGCTACCGCTGAAACGACGCTCCGGCGATTTTCAGGGCCGGATAGTTATCTCGTCCGCCGCTTCACTCTTTAGCAGAGTGTTGTAAGTGTGTCGTAAGGCACTTGGGCGATCCTAAGAAGACGCGCCCCTTAAGGCCCTCGTCAAGACAGTATGAAAAACCTTCCAAAAAGCCAATATGACCGAAAGCCCCGAAAACGTGAGCAGACTGACAGGGACACTTGTTTTCGTCGTCACTTTTCGAATACAACATGCGAGGTAAGAGTTTTCACGTTGTCAATAGGTCTGTTTACAAGAGACTATGCTGCATTATGTACTCAGTAGTATGCTTTTGAACTTCAATGAAGTTCAACAAACTCGCGTTCGATTGACGCTTCGATTTACGAGGAGAAATTTAGCAGCTCTGGCTCATTGAGGAACAATGGTAAAATATTTTGGGCTGGCGGTACAGAAGGCTTCTTCCTGCTAGTCCCGTCGTGCGTCGAAGGCTCGAATGGTCCATGGTCCTGGGATAGTCTCAGGCTGGGATGACAAGAATGATTTGAATCAAAATCGGCTTGTTCACGTGACGCACACGTCTTCTCCGCTCGAAATGTACGCGCTCGCCGTCTGGGCCAGTGTCGAGGCTGATATTTATTTTTTAGGGTTGTCGCTGTCGCCGTCGATTCTGCGGACATCGCACGGGCCAGCCTCCATGTCCGCCTCCCCTTCATAGCACATCTCTACGCCCTCCCATTTTTATCCCTCTATCCTCTGCTCGCATACGCCTACTACGTCAAGTACGACCAGTGGATAGTTTCCGAGGAGTGGACATTCCTCGCCTGTGTCACTCTGGGTGCCAGCCATGCCCTCAGTTTCCTCGTTACAAAATGGAACGGCGGAGCACGGGCCTTCATCACCACCACCCCCGCAAACTCCATCCGGGAGGCAGACTCCATCCGCATCGTTCCCCATCTCCACCGCGGCCAAGGAGACATCGTTTCGATAGACAAAAAAGTCGAGTCCGACCCGTCTACTTATACGTTTAGTTATCAGCGCGACACCTATATTATTCAGTCCGTAGAGCCTCTCATCTTTTCTCGGCTTCCGTACCCGTCCACTGGCCGCCCAGCTCTCTCCACTTTCCTCGCGCCAAAGGGCCTTCCCGCCAAAGAACTCCCCAGCCTGCTGTCTCTCTATGGCGGGAACGAGTTCAATATCCCGATCCCCTCCTTTACCGAACTTTTTGGCGAGCACGCAACCGCGCCATTCTTCGTTTTCCAAATCTTCTGCGTGGCTCTCTGGTGCTTGGACGAGTACTGGTACTACAGTATCTTTACACTCTTCATGCTCGTCATGTTCGAGTGTACCGTCGTCTGGCAGGTGTGTGTCCCGAATGTTTATGCTCGGGTATCATACTTACCTGGGTTTATCCAGCGCGTCCGCACGCTAACGGAGTTCAGAACAATGTCCATCGCCCCGTATCCGATACAGTGCTATCGCGACAAGAAATGGCAAGAGGTACAGACAGATAAGCTTTTACCGGGAGACGTCGTATCGCTCGGTGAGTACCCTCTTCATCTTTAGCTTTGTTTTCTGACACACCTTAGCCCCCCAGCAAAACGAACTCAGCGTCCCCGCTGATGTCCTTCTCGTTCACGGGACCTGTATCGTCAACGAGGCCATGCTCTCCGGCGAGTCCACCCCGCTGCTGAAAGAGTCGATCCAACTCCTTGACGCCTCGGACAACCTTGATGTTGACGGCGCCCACAAGAACGCCGTCCTCTTCAGCGGCACCAAGGTCCTTCAGGCCTCCGCCGCCTCGCAGAACGGTCTCGAGCCGCCGCTCAAGACGCCCGACGGCGGCTGCCTCGGCGTGGTGCTCCGCACCGGGTTCGGAACCGCTCAGGGCCAGCTCGTACGCACAATGATCTTCAGCACGGAGCGCGTCTCGGCAAACAACCTCGAGAGCTTCCTCTTCATTGGTTTCCTCCTCATCTTCGCCATCGCCGCGAGTTGGTATGTGTGGACCAAGGGCATCGAGCGCGACTTGAAGAAGAGCAAGCTCCTGCTCGACTGTGTGCTGATTATCACGAGTGTCGTGCCCCCTGAGTTGCCTATGGAGCTGTCCCTCGCGGTGAATGCTTCCCTCGTTGCTCTCTCGAAATTCGGTACGTACAGCACTTCATTCC